ATTTTATGCAATGTTTACGTTGTTTACGATGGGTTACAATGAAATATACAAGAGATCTGCGACTAAAATGTATATAAGGAAAGCACTGAGACAATGCAAAGGCTAAAACATCACACTTTTGGTATGTGCAAACTGTGATATGCAAAGGCATATCAACGCGCAACAGGTCAACAACAAGCTTTCTCAGTCCGCTTCGCTTGCAAAAAAAAGTTTTTTGATTTTGCGGTGAGCGCTGGCACATCGTTGAAACTCGAATTCCAATAAGCTATCCGGTTTTTCAGTATTGCGGATAATCGAATTTCTTTGCCCTCCCATCTGGATACCTATTGAGGTTACCTGTTGGATAACTAGATACCTACTGGATGCCTCCGCGACACGCATACAAACGCTCTCACAAAGCATTTACATTCTAGAAAACAAAAAATAGAATTCACGAAAAAAAAACTTTACAACCAAACTTTACAATCAAAAAAACTTCTTTACAATCAGAACCACAGCCGTCGTATACGCAGATCAGAACCGTAAACACAGGACCGTAAAGTAAATCGTCACCGTGTCAATCGCAGCGCAGATACTGCTGACGTTATCGCATCAAAATTCTCACGCAGTCGTCGGGCACGTGAACGCTGTTCTAAAGGAGCCAACGATAAGACACCAACAACAATATCCCAATGATTCAAGTTGCGTTGAGGCGCGTCCCGCCTTCAAATTTTGCCGCGGTAAACTTACTTTTGCACTCTGTGCTGAACTGGCACTAGCATATGTACTAGAAAGTCAAACCCGCCACTAGCTAGCTAGCTTGCTTCCAAGCAATTCTCGAAGAGGTGCCAGAACTACTCTTGCCAGCAAGTGTCTGCTACTGACAGGCGCAACTACTTGGACAATTTCCAAGTGCTCATTCATACAAAGAGTCAACGCTGAGAAAGAACTGCCATTCGCTTGACTACTGAATAATAAGTAACGATTGACGATGATTCGCCAATGATGGCTTTCACAAAGCATCATCGCCAATTGGAACGCTATATATAATGACATAATTTACTTTAATTTAGAAAGGATTTTACCTAAACAGTAAGTAAATTAAAGTAAAATCCCTTCTAAATTAAAAATTATGTGATTACATATAACGTTTCAATTGGCGATGATGCTTTGTGAAAGCCATCATTTAATTTATTTTAATAGTTGTTAAATAGTTTTTGCCGCTTAATAGTTAATAGTTAGTTGTTATATCTTATTAGTTTAGTTAATAGTTTAGTTTAATAGTTTAGTTAGTAGTTAATAGTTTGTTAATAGTTAATAGCTTAATGGTTAATAGTTGCTTACTTTGTCCTCGTCTTTGTCGCTCAATGATCTGACCCATATCAACGGCGTTATATTTTACAAACAACGGGTCC